AACCTGGAATCTAGGAGCTGCTCTTAGTAGGAACCGAATCTAATCCTAACCTAAAGACAGCTGCTTGCGTGCCGTACAAACGATTTCTCAGTCTCCTGGGTTCCATCGTAATCCACGTTTGCACTGGGCGCGCAGTTAAATTAGAGCACAGAGTAGGCATCCTTCAAACTGTCTATCGCGTTGATCTCGGAAACCATACTGAGAAATCGTTCTTGTGCGTGCCGTAAACCAAAGCGACTCAATGCTCGTATACACACTGATTGAAATATATAGATTCGGAAGTAGATATTGCACATTATTTCTCGCATGACAATGAATTACTCTTCCCAATCACGAATCAAAATCATCCATCATCATTTAGGAATTTCGAAGGTTTTTCTGAGGATGGTACTACAGATGACAGCCATTTTTAGCCGTGGACAGAGCGGATAGTATTGGGTTGGAGCATAATATCGTAGCGCTTGCATTTTTCATTTCTTCACACAAACATTTGAAGCAAAAAATAAAAACATAAAACTAATCAGTGATGTTCACTTCGTCATTATTTACAACTTTGATTGCATTTCGCAGAGATCACCGGATATAGAATTTAAAAAATATTGAGCTCGTTTTCGGAGTCCTTATTATTCTCAATTTGTACGAAATGAATATGGTTTTAATTTGAGCGAAAAAGGTAGGGTCGTTAGAGCAAGGTTCGATTAGAACAATGGATTCAAAAGAACTTCCAATTTGGCGTTTTTTTTCTTTATTTAAACCGAAGAATAGCAGCTGTCGAAACGCCGATTTTCGCCGTCTGGATTTTCCAACTTCTAAGCTCTATACTGAGTACAGCTACAATTTTGAAGAAAATGACAACTACGGTTTTGTAGAGCGGGAAGAGTACTTTCAAATAATATGAGCGGTTTTTGGGTGATACTTGTACTGATTGAATTTATACGCTCGAAAAAAAAAACGCTACGATATTATGCTCCAACCCAATACATAAAGAGCATTGCTTATTTTCAGTATTTTCAGTAGAAGCACTATGGCCGTGTCCTATCCAAGCAGTCTCATACGAAACCCACTCTCCACAGTCAAAAGTTAGGCATTCTCGTGATACACTGACTCCATTGAAATGTGAAGGTGGAGGTGTTAAAAAGTTGCACCTGATAAAAAAGAAAAGAATGGCACCCTCCCCGTTTATTTCAAGCCTGGACGAGTTACCTACGGCTGCTGTCACTTCGGTGGTCGTGCAAAAAATCTCTGGTGTAACCATTCTACTGATAGTTATTTCATACATATGCTATGAAAGTAATATGTTTAGAATCAATCTGGCTGCGTCCGTATTCGCGTGCATCACAGGGGACTGCAGTGGTATAACAGGGCCATCGATATTTTTATAATGCTTCCTGTCAAAGTCCGGATCTCGGTGCACCATCCACCAACCAATAGCATTTCTTAGCCAACCTCTATCCATTTTTCCCCATCTCTAGGTCTTCTTGGAACCGAGTTATGAAGTTTCGTGGCAAACTCCGCCCACTTTGGTGCACGTCCGCCCACCTACAGCACTTCACCTCTTCTCATTCCCCGACCCCTATCCACTTTTTTTCAAGATTCTGGGATAACCGAATTATTAAGTTTCGTGGCAAACTTCACCCACTTTGGTGCACGCTATGCCCACCCGTATCAGGTGATCTCCCCTCCTTCGCTGGACTCGGTATACTTATTCCCAGTCTCCGGGGTTCCTAGAAGAACCAGATTATAAGCACGTTGGCAAACTCCGCCCACCTTGATGCACTTCACGCGTCCCCTGTCGGAGTGCCATCACTAGGAAACCCTTTTGACCTTTTGACTTATTGCATCAACATCTCACCTTTCTTGCGCATTCTAATCTATCGATCACGTCGTCTCTGTTCTCCAGAATCGGACGCTTTATCAGATTCTTCCAATGGCCACCTCAAGGTGGACTTTTTTCCATGCGCTCCCTTGTGTCTGCCCGATCTACCTTCCGTTGTTTTCGTAAATTTGTTTCGCTTTGATAGCTGGACCTTCGTGCGTAAAACTTTATATGATGTACATAGTTATCAGGACTGACTGTTCATGTTGGAAAAGAATGCAAAAATTTTGCGGGGAGGATTACTTTATGGACACGCTCCGACTACTCTGGACGGGCTTCCACCCAGTTCAGGTATGCCAGGGGTATCTTAGATGTTGCCTTCCTGAACCAATTTTTTCTGCCCAATGGGGACTTTTCTTGACAAATTATGAATTTTTATTGAACGCCGCATCTTCAAAGAACACACAGTGGGTTTACCAATTCGACATAGCGACTCAGCGCACATCTTCACCTATTTTACCACGGTCACTGGGGACCACTGGTCAGTCCTATCGTTGCTACTTTTCGAAAAGTTTTTACGACCCCCCTCCTTCAGGAAAAGTTTCCTACGACCCCCCTTTTCCGACCAATTTTTACCCCAAAAAATTACCGTCGAGCGGGGGGGGGGGTATATACTTCCCTTAAAACCGCAAAAATTCCCTACATTTCCTTACAATTTCCCTATGTTTTACCCATATTTCAACTGCTCCATTTTCTAGGAGGTATATACGCGCGCTGAAACGGCAAATTTTCTCCCGCGCCGCTCCCCACTCATCACATGCAACTTCTTACAACCGAAGCAAGTACGACCCCCCCAACACAAACTCATCAAAATACGACCCCCCCGTTGCTACTTGTAGCAACATAGGGTTGACCCTGCTCGGAACCCTGTCACACCTATTAAGAAGCTCGATCGATGCTCTCGATAGATCGCTTCCTTTTATAGCTGTTGAATAAAGCAACTCTTCTAACCTACAGCGCTATATAGAAGTTCTGATTTAGCGCAGATGAACACATTTATGGCTTTGGCGAGTGTAAAAACTCGCCCATTTCGAAAATTTCCCCGTTATTTTTGCAAAAATCTGAAAAGCAACGCATTTTCGGCAGAGTGGACGAGTCAAGTCATTTCAACCGTAGGATAGAGCAACGTCTAGTTTTACGATGCCATTTGAAATTTTCAAATTATCGCATTTGTAGAAGTTAGAGTTGAAGTTGTCTTGAAAATGTAGAAACTCGTGCTTAGTAAAAATTTTCGTCGTTAGTTACCCAAAAACGTATTTTCCCATTCATAAATTCAAATTTAGAGTTACGACTTACAGAACACATAGGCGTCTTTCAAGGTTGAAAAATTGTCCCACTCTGAGAAACTTTGTCGTTATTTGAATACGTGTTCATCTTCGAGCTGCTTAAGGGAAGCGATTACGATAAGGAATTTTCGCATCGGGGGAGAACCTGCGCCACACGGAGCAATTACTTGGCTGCCAAGGAAGCGATGTGTGGTCCTCCCACGGCGAAAGGTGCTGTGGTTGCTGAGCAGGACCCGTGTGACGCTCCGCCCCCAGTGACGTAACGCCCACTAGTTTTGTTGATGATCTGGATGGACTGTTTGCTGTTGGCTTTTCATTTTGGATGATCATTTCCCTTCTAGCGGCTGTATCTTCCCACGTATTGCCTTATCAATCAGAACACTATGCTTGTTGGCATGATGGCGGCTATCGGGGTTAACACGTCCGAACAACGTCGTTCTTTACCGTCGCTCATCCATGGTCGAAAAATGAAAGGGCAATCAAAGGGGTACTATTTTGCTTATTTTTGACGGATTTCTTTGCTTTTTTCGCCATTGGCGTACTATTGAGACCCCACGTCCCCTCTAAACCCCTTTGAGATCTATCGTAATCGCTTCCTTTAATAAGCAACAATCCAGGAACGAATTCGCGGGTAAGGACCACCTATAATGACGTTGCAGGTGAGAAGTTGGTCAATGGAGAAAGAAAAAGTAGAAAAAAACGTCGGGCAGGGGCTTAGACAGGGACTCCCCCTGCCGTTTAGGGAGATGTGTGTTGGACGAGTTGTCCGAACCTGCCCGTAGTACATGCGCTCCAGTTGACTGCTGGCAAATAGCCATGCATGCTTGCAAATACATAACTATTTGCCAGCAATCGAAATTGAAGCGCTTCAATTGCGTTATTATGTTATGTTATGTTTATTACATGACAAGCATGTACAAATCGCCAGTAGGCGGGGGAACACAAAAGGCAAGAAAACACGGCAAAAAAACAATGACAATGACATGAAACAACAGTAAACATAGAAGAATGTTGCGAGATTATTGATGAGGAGAAATAAACGGAAACGGGTAGTGCGTCAACGGAGAACTTTATATAAGTATGATTTGAGCATTTTTATAGATATCGGTAGCGAACCTTTTTTCATCAGCTGCTTATATGCTGACCCAGCGCGATTGACGAAGAATTGATGCCTAAGATTGGAGCGCGCTGCACTGAAGTTTATCTTAGTTCGACTTCCTCTAGTTACAGATGGTAACAGTTGGAAGAAGTTGCGACATGAAACCTTTCTTATGGAATCGACCTCATACAGCGCGGCGGTCCGCAACCGCTAGTCGAGCAAGCGCTCTGCACAGCGAATGTTGGGCGATCCGCCTCTTTATGGGTGATCCGCCCCCTCCAAGAGGACTTCGACCCCTTCCAGCGCATTTTAGAGGTAGGTTTTGAAATTAAAGACATTTCCTATAAACTTTAGTTGGGCTGGGGCATGTTTTGACCGCCTAATGACCAAGTAGTTGAAACCCTGCCTGGACTGTTGCTTTAAACTTATTCAGTGAACAAAAAGCTTCCAAAATGCAACTATTCAACTCTACAAATGCTGTAGAATTTATTAAAAATGGAAAAGTTTCACTTCTCAAGGAAAATTTTCTGCCCTTTTTCTGGCAATTCCAGGGCCGCTCAGAAAAAAAATGATCATCAGATTTGCTCTACGCACGTGCCCCTGCCCCTATAACATGCAACGAAACCGTTTTGAAAAAGCGCTCCATGTCCTGAATACTTTTCTGGTTAATCCGGCTGCTTCAAGGGAACAATAATGACTATGTGCACTGAAAATCTCCATATGCCTTCTGAAATATGCTTCAGAAAACAAAGCGAGCCGAAGCAGCGTTGAAGATACCATCACTTCTAACAAACATAGTTTTGCACAAAATTTGATAATATAGCTGGTTCTCGTTGGTAAAGGAGTGCGAATATTAACGACTTGCGGTGAGCTGAAAGAACGCCGTGTTACTGCCATTTACACTCTAACGACTGGCCTTCACAAACATGAGACTCATTTTTCTTTATTTATCTAGATTTGTTATGTTTCAAAACTCTTCATACTCTATCGGACGCAGAAAATAGACTCAATATCTATAATTAATTATTTGAGGGCAACGGCTGTTAATGAAATACACGAATACCGGCTGTCGCCAATGTTTTGAACATGTGCTTCAAATAATGCGAAAGAGCTCACCTGTATTGGTACCTTACTGATTTCCAGAGCTCCGAAACTGGCTTGCACTCCTAGAGTGACACATGTTTTTGAAGATTGTATATCTATTTCAAAGTCGGTACTTTTGGCATCATCTTTTTCCTCTTCGCTTACAGCTTCATTATTCTCAATCACTGGTTCACTTGTACTATAGATATGCTCCTTAGCCAGAAACTCAGCAAGCGCTTTGAGAAGCGGTTCTTCACCGAAGAGTTCATTCAAAAACGTTTTAGCTGAAAACAGACGAAACAGTTGCAAATTTCCAGAATTGAACAAAAAAACCTACATTGTCCATACACTGCAATCGGTTTAACCCATGGACTGCAGACGAAGCAGAGTTCGTTTTCGCAATTATACCAGTGAGAAATCAGCTTCCACACATACCGGCATTTGTTATCTGCATAAAGAACAAATCAAAAGTGTGTGAGTTTAAGAGCGAGAACCTGGACAATGAGTTCATCGTGTGACTCGCTGCATGATCAAGAAGATAAAGTATAGTATAGGTAAAAAGAAATTGATAGGAACAAATAAAAGATCATCGTAACTCAGCAAGCACCATCTAATAGTGAGCTTTGACATACGAGTGCATCAACACTCTTAGTTCCTAACGTAAACATTCTGACAATTTTCGAGGAGTAGGCCAAGTCTTGCCGACATGCAAAATTCTCATTAGTACATGTAATCGGGGCTACTTCCATTATTTTCCAACCAAAAAAAGTCTCAAACAATCTCTTACACAACACTCAGCATTACTGGTGCTAACTTAGTTGGGGGGACCACGCGGCGGCGCGGCGCTTTGCTCGCCTGGCATCTTTGCGTACTTCGGGAAATCCGTGAGCCAGGGGGAGTGTAGGCAGTCTAGGGGGGGGGGGGGGGGGGGGGGTGAGGGCAGTCACTTGACATGCGTGAAAAGCTGGAATGTTCGAGTTTACACTGTCTCGCTCGAGAGAGCGCCAGGTGAGCAGACTGCCGCGCCGCCGCGTGGCCCCCCCCCCCCAACTAAGTTAGCACCCTCTTACCTTGCAAGTATGTGCGAGTGCAAGTTTTTGGAGCATTAGTCAGGTAAGACAAGTTTTAAAATGTATATTTACAAAAATTACAATTGCATATTCGGGCATACTGAGCCGTAAAGATACCTTGTTTAGCTACTTGACAGACGTCAAGACTAACCTTCACATTTTCCTCGAATGTGACAGCCGTGCATGTGACACAAGCGATATGAAGTTCTTAAGCATGGCGTCACCTTACTACACCACAGTGGATCGTCACGATTGAGATACTAAAATCCTCGAACTGTCAAGGTTTTACATAGAACGACTTTGAAATAAACGACATACCACACATGGAATATGCGACCGCAAAGCATGGATAAGGTCACCAAGAAAGTCCCGCAACTGCTCTTTCGAACCGAACCTTTTCAAAGATCTTGCACTTGGCATACTATTCGCACTAGAAGTTCTCCCAACCTTGAGAAGTTTAAAAAAAACATTTGTAGTTACGGGCTCAAGCCATTATGGGGTCTGAAGTTTATAAAACCAATCGGTTAAAATCAAGAATTCACCCGGAGATTCTGAAGCCTGAAACGAATAGCGACGGTGACGGCATCTGAATGGTTTTGCTTTGACCGCCGAATTGTGTGAAAATTGCACAAAAAAAAACTTGGTTCACCCCTATGGGAAAAAAAAATGAACGAAATCAGACGTACTTGTGAGGGAACTGTTGTCATCATCAAGTTACTAGTATCCAAGCCATCGAAGCAATATTGCGCTTTCGATAACGCCTGCATGAATTAGGCAGCGTTCAGAGTTAGCGATCATACATGGGATTAGGAGATTGGTCTTCAAGGAGAAGGATATGTATTGATTAGGCGATTAGGCGACCGTTTAGGAGACGCACAAGCGTATCACACACCACCTTTTCATCGGCCTACTCGTTTAGCACCCTCTATAGGCTTATAGTCACGCGAATCGTCTAATCGCCATATATCCGACCACCGTCGAAGCTGCTTGATCGCCTTCGACTAAACGATTCAAGGAATACAGCACCATTTTCTGTCAAATGAAAGATGCAGACTTTGATGACTGTGACTACAGGCATTGCTCGACGAGTTAGTGGCGAAACAATGATCAAAAATTTGACAGGAAGTTCGATAAAACGGCGTGCTGGGAAACAAAAGCAAAAAAAAAACCTCAATAGAAAACTTGCAGTCCCCCCTTGCGAGGGCATGGCTAGCCGAAGAGTGCAAACAACTGGCGAAAGCGAGGGTAACGTGATATAGCACGTGCTAGCGGGCGCGCATGACCACTAGCACGATTGATAAGGTATGCAGCACGCAGCAGACCTCAAGGTTTCACCAAGGGAGTTGTTCAGGGTGTGCCAAGACTTTCAAAAATAGTTTCTGCATCGACAATTGGGCACATCTGGCACATGGAAGCGTCTTTCAAGCTTTTTGAAACTTCTTGAAACGGTCTTTTGCATGATATAGGGGCAGATGCGGGAACCACAGAACCATGTTCAATTTTTCCTGAACGGCCCTCTGAATACCAGAAAAGGGGGTCCCTAGTTCGATTCCTCGTGGTGACAAATTTTTGCATTTCGAGTTGACGTTTCAAAATTCGCGCAAAATGGAGTTAGCATGAATAATTAGTACCAAATTCATGATTAGGAACGTCAGTAACCCTTACAAATAGACTTTGATTGAAAAACTGGTGAAAAAGGTGTGACTAGGGACCCCCTTTTCTGGTATTCAGAGGGCCGTTCAGGAAAAATTAACCATGGTTCTGTGGTTCCCGCATGTGCCTCTATATCATGCAAAAGACCGTTTTGAAAAAGCTTGGCACACCTGAAGGACCTTCCTTGTTAGCGCCGCTGCCTCGCACTTTCGAGTCGCGACAGTCTCGCACCTCCTGCGCTCAGGGAACCATCTTTCTCAACTCTAGGACGGACTATCTTCTTTGCACCTAATCCCGACCAGTGGCTTCAGGTGAGATATGCGCGACGGACGCAAAGTGCCGTAAGAAAACACAGATATGGTATCGCAAAGAATAATTGATGCCTCTGTTTGGTAAAAAGATAGAAATCCACCTTAAGGCCATGCACCTACTCCAGTTATATGAGAGTGACATATAAAATGCTGGTGCGCCTCTACAAGTCGAAGCCATGCGGAATGCAAGATCGTCCGAAAATGCAACTATGTGGGGAATATGAGACGATGAATGTTCTAGGGGTAAATTCCCTTGACTTTTTTGGAACATTCAGTTTTCGATTATATAGACCCGCCGCCTTGTCGCAAGTTACAGGGTTGCCCTCCAAATATAAGCCTAGGGGGGGGGGAAGAAATTCTAAAATGAAAATTGCTTGTGCAGCCTGGAATGTCTCCTCCTCCGCATAAGGCCTAGTCCCGATTTTGCGAAAAAGAGATGTTTAACGCGGTTGTAAATGCCACAACATTATACCCCATCATCGGTGCTAACTTAGTTGGGGGGGCCACGCGGCGGCGCGGCAGTCTGCTCACCTGGGCTCTCTCGAACGAGACAGTGTAAACTCGAACATTCCAGCTTTTCACGCATGTCAAGTGACTGCCCTCACCCCCCACCCCCCTAGACTGGCTACACTCCCCCTGGCCCACGGATTTCCGAACATGCCAGGCGAGCAGACTGCCGCGCCGCCGCGTGCCCCCCCCCCAACTAAGTTAGCACCCCATATCTTGCGAAAGCACCGACTTGGTCTTATGTAAGGATCCTTCAGGAATTTATTAGGTCGTGAAGAAAGTTCTTGCACTTTTCGATAATTCGTTTTTGAACGCTTACTTCGTTTACGAAATTCCAAAATCGAGCTGCTGAATTGAGGCTGTATTGGTTTTTGAAGAGCTTTTCTTGTTCTATCTAACAGCTAGGCTAGCTATGTTCCTTATCATTTAGTTGTCATTTTTGAAGCCTTGAATACGGCATACTCCAAGAGCAAATTTGCATGATTTCCTTTTTCTAGCTCAAAGCAGGCCAGTATGGAGAGGGAGCAGGTCAAGATATTATAGACGCACTTGGCTGAGATTCGCAATAAATATGGTCTGAAGCAATTGTTCAAAAAGCTTTTGTAAGAATAGCGAGAGCCCTAAAGATTGTGAGGGTGGTGATCGGAGATTGGACAACGCCAACGATTAGTCGAACGTTCTGGTTGAAGCACGTTTGCACAAATCTATTGAGAGGGTTCCTCCTAAACTAATCGCACTTGCATTGTTTTGTTGTACGGGAAGAGCTGGAAAGTCCAAAAATTCAAAATAGGGCGTGCCGCGACAGCTCACCATTTTGAAGGGTCGTTCGCCGCGTTCTAGCTTGTTTCATGCCATGAAAACGACCTGACTTTTTGATCATTTGCGACGCACGACAAAGAACGGATTCTTTGCTACAGAATACGAACCTTTGGTGAAGTGATCGACCGCGATCAGGCTCTACAAACTTTGCAAAAGTGAAACTTCAGTGAAGGAAGGTTGAGGTAACTTTCATAAGGTCGCGGCTGGTCTAGCTTTTCATAACCAGGTGGATCTGTTAACGTGGAAAAAGTACTCCTTTTTGAGAAATGTAATGGTTGGTGTCAAACTACTCCTAGAACTCTGGCACATATGCTCGAAATTCTCATTATAAAAGGAACCGGCTCGTCCCTGACAGGTAGCTCGGACGCACATTCCACAACCAACCCTGCAGAAGTTGACAAAGATTGGCTACGAATTAGTCCTGCGAACATCCTACTCGGTAGACCTTTTGCCTATAATTTGTCACTTTCTCGACTACCTGGATAGCTTCTCCAAAGAGTTATGCTTCAAAAACCAACATGATGCGGAAAACGACCTCCGCCGGGTTCATCGTCTCTAGAGCTCCGTATTCTGCACTACCAGGCTGATAACCGCAGCTATTATCGTATAACTTTGTAGATTAACAGTCTTCACATCAATCAAAAAGGTTTCGAATGAGCCGAGATACAGGCGTTTGAAAATCAAGGTCGAAAAACCGCAAGAACTTTCTTCACGACCTAATATCTCCTTTCAGTGCGCTACAACTTCATCACAAAGCTTAGTAAAAATGACTGTAAGAAAACTAACACTGTTCCGAAGGCATAGGAAGCGCCGTCCCTATCATCTGCTGCCACCAGGTTGTGCCAGTGCCGGTGCTGAAATGACAGCTCATGTGAAGCAGTCTGTATGTACGAGAATTAACAAGTGCAAACCTGACTATCCTATCTCGAACCTTCAACTTGCGTCCCTGCTTCGGCGAGCTTCCAGCTCCATGCCCAACCTGAGTTAGTTCCATAAAATCCCCCAGATGCCGAAGGCTAAATTTATTTACAAGGTCCGAAAGCGCTTGGAAAGGATCCGGAGAGCTCCGTACGATGTTTCTTGTCGAATTCTTTCAGGTCTACTCGAAAAATGACAGCTAAACGCCTTTGTAGGGGAACACTGGTGTGACTCGCTAGGACAGTAAAGGGATTTTTCGCTTTTCGAGGCGCGAACCTTTTCGATGCGGGAACCCGAGGTCACCCACTGATCATGAATGGGTCCCGCAGCGGAAAAGTTTCACGAAAAGCCAAAACGTCGCTTTTTGTTCTAGCGACTCACACTCGTGAGAACACCGCCAGGCACACGCAGAATACTTTTGCCAGCAGGACCAACCCCTTTGGGTAAGGTCCAACGAGGTGGTCGCATTTTTTTTCTTTTCTTTTTCGAAGAAAATGGTATTTGGTGGAACCTGCATGGTAAAACTTTCTGAAGGAGAGCAGAAATAGCATTATTCTTGGACAATAAAAACTTTTTGGGGAAATAAAATGCTTATTTTTTCCCGCCCTGCTCTCCTTCAGAAAGTTTTACCATGCAGGTTCCACCAAATACCATTTTCTTCGAAAAAGAAAAGAAAAAAAATGCGACCACCTCGTTGGACCTTACCCAAAGGGTTGGTCCTGCTGGCAAAGTATTCTGCGTGTCCGGTGTTCTCACGAATGTGAGTCGCTAGAACAAAAAGCGACGTTTTGGCTTTTCGCGAAACTTTTCCGCTGCGGAACCCATTCATGATCAGTGGGTGACCTCGGGTTCCCGCATCGAAAAGGGTTCGCGCCTCGAAAAGCGAAAAATTCTTTTACTGTCCTAGCGAGTCACACCAGTGTTCCCCCACGAAGTCGTTAGCCTTTCATTTTCTCCGTCAGATCCCCTGAAATGAATTCCGACACCCGTAAACATCTTAGGGGGTGAGCCCGCCCTTTCCCCAATGCGCTTTCGATTCCTGTTAATATAAATTTTAGGACTTCGCATTCTGTGATTTTGCTGGAACATAAACTTCAGTTGTTGGTCATGGACCCTTGCCAAGCTTCTTCCCGCAATGGACGTCATTTGATTAGTTCGAGATAGGATAGTCAGGTTTGCACTTGTTAATTCTCGTACATACTAGACTGCTTCACATGAGCTGTCATTTCAGCACCGGCACTGGCACAACCTGGTGGCAGCAGATGATAGGGACGGCGCTTCCTATGCCTTCGGAACAGTGTTAGTTTTCTTACAGTCATTTTTACTAAGCTTTGTGATGAAGTTGTAGCGCACTGAAAGGAGATATTAGGTCGTGAAGAAAGTTCTTGCGCTTTTTCGACCTTGATTTTCAAATGCCTGTATCTCGGCTCATTCGAAACCTTTTTGATTGGAGTAAAGACTGTTAGAATCCACAAACCTCTTGCCAATAATAGCTGCGTTGAATCAGCCCGGTAGTGCAGAATACTGGAGCTCTAGAGACGATGAACCCGGCGGAGGTCGTTTCCGCATCATGTTGGTTTTTGAAGCATAACTCTTTGGAGAAGCTATCCAGGTAGTCGAGAAAGTGACAAATTATAGGCAAAAGGTCTACCGAGTAGGATGTTCGCAGGACTAATTCGTAGCCAATCTTGTCCAACTTCTGCAGGGTTGGTTGTGGAATGTGCGTCCGAGCTACCTGTCAGGGACGAGCCGGTTCCTTTATAATGAGGAATTTCGAGCATATGTGCCAGAGTTCTAGGAGTAGTTTGACACATTATCAGGAGTACTTTTTCCACATTAACAGATCCACCTGGTTACGAAAAGCTAGACCAGCCGCTGACCTTATGAAAGTCACCTCAACCTTCCTTCAGTGAAGTTTCACTTTGCAAGTTTGTAGAGCCTAATCGCAGTCAGTCACTTCACCAAAGGTTCGTATTCTGTAGCAAAGAATCAGTTCTTTGTCGTGCGTCGCGAATGATCAAAAAGTCAGGTTGTTTTCATGGCATATGAAACAAGCTAGAACGCGGCGAATGACCCTTCAAAACGGAGAGCTGAAGCGGCACGCCCTATTTGAATTTTTGCGGACTTTCCAGCTCTTCCCGTACAACAAGAAAACACAATGCAAGTGCGATTAGTTTAGGAGGAACCTCTCTCAATAGATTTGTGCAAACGTGCTTCAACCAGAACGTTCGACTAATCGTTGGCGTTGTCCAATCTCCGATCACCACCCTCACAATCTTTAGGGCTCTCGCTATTCTTACAAAAGCTTTTTGAACAATTGCTTCAGACCATATTTATTGCGAATCTCAGCCAAGTGCGTCTATAATATCTTGACCTGCTCCTCTCCATACTGGCCTGCTTTGAGCTAGAAAAAGGAAATCATGCAAATTTGCTCTTGGAGTATGCCGTATTCAAGGCTTCAAAAAATGACAACTAAATAATAAGGAACATAGCTAGCCTAGCTGTTAGATAGAACAAGAAAAGCTCTTCAAAACCACATACAGCTCATTGGCAGCTTGCTTGAATTCGTAAGCAAAATAAAGCGTTCAAAAAAACGAAACACCGAAAAGCGCAAGAACTTTCTTCACGACCTAATACATATCCTGAATGGATCCTTCACATACAACAGACCCAATTCGTGCTTCGCGATATGGGTGGTGCTAACTTAGTTGGGGGGGCCACGCGGCGGCGCGGCAGTCTGCTCGCCTGGCATGTTCGGAAATCCGTGGGCCAGGGGGAGTGTAGCCAGTCTAGGGGGGGGGGGTGGGGGCAGTCACTTGACATGCGTGAAAAGCTGGAATGTTCGAGTTTACACTGTCTCGCTCGAGAGAGCCCAGGTGAGCAGACCGCCGCGCCGCCGCGTGGCCCCCCCCAACTAAGTTAGCACCGAACGACTAGGGGTAATTAGTGGCAGTTTACAACCGCGTTACCACATCTCTTTTTCGCAAATATCGGACTCGGCCCTTATGCGGAGGCTGACATTCAGCTGCACAACAAATTTTCATTTTTTAGAATTCTGCGCGTCCTCCTAGGCTTGCATATTTGGCATGCAACTCCTTGTAATCTTGCGACATTTATAGGCGCGGTCTATAATCTGAATAGCGAGGTCCGCGGCGGCGCGCGCGGATGATCCAAAATCGAAAATGTTCTCAAAAAATAAGGAATTTACCCCTAGAACATTCATCGTCTCATATTCCCCCCACATAGTTGCATTTTCGGACGATCTTGCATTCCGCATGGCTTCGACTTGTAGAGGCGCACCAGCATTTTATATGTCACTCTCATATAACTGGAGTAGGTGCATGGCCTTAAGGTGGATTTCTATCTTTTTACCAAACAGAGGCATCAATTATTCTTTGCGATACCATATCTGTGTTTCTTACGCACTTGTGCGTCCGTCGCGCATATCTCCCCTGAAGCTCTATCTGGTCCGGGAATTAGGTGCAAAGAAGTCCTTCCTAGAGTGGGAAAGACGGTTCCCCGAGCGCAGGAGGGTGCGAGACTGTCGCGACTCGAAAGTGCGAGGCAGCGGCGCTTACCACAAGGAAGGTCTTTCAGGGTGTGCCAAGCTTTTTCAAAACGGTCTTTTGCATGATATAGAGGCACATGCGGGAACCACAGAACCATGGTTAATTTTTCCTGAACGGCCCTCTGAATACCAGAAAAGGGGCCCTAGTCACACCTTTTTCACCAGTTTTTCAATCAAAGTCTATTTGTAAGGGTTACTGACGTTCCTAATCATGAATTTGGTACTAATTATTCATGCTAACTCCATTTTGCGCGAATTTGGAAACGTCAACACGAAATGCAAAAACTTTGTCACCACGAGGAATCGAACTAGGGACCCCTTTTCTGGTATTCAGAGGGCCGTTCAGGAAAAATTAACATGGTTCTGTGGTCCCCGCATCTGCCCCTATATCATGCAAAAGACCGTTTTCAAAAAGCTCGCCACGCCCTGAAAGACCTTCAAATATGTGCCGCCAAGTCGGTGCAAGAAACCATTTTGAAAAGTCTTGGCACACCCTGAACAACCTCCCTTGTAAAACCTTGCCTTGTCTGCTGCCGTGCTGCCATCCTTATCAATCGTGGCTACGTGGCGTATGCGCGCCCCGCTACAACGTGCTCTCTCGCTTTCCCTCCCTTCGCAGTGTTGTGCCTCTTCGTCATAGCATGTCCCCTCGCAAGGGGGACTGCAATGTTTTCTATGAGGTTTTTTTTTGCTTTTTCTTCCCACACGCGTTTCTCATCGCACTTCGTGTCAAATTTTTGATCATTGTTTCACACCAACTCGATCCAGACCCATGCCTTTAAGTCACAGTCATCAAAGTCTGGCATCTGTCATTGACATAAAATGGTGCCCTGTGTTCCTTTTAATCGAAGTAGAAGCGAATCAAGGCAGCTCAGAGTGGTCGTATATAGCGACTTACGACGATTCGGTGACTACAGCTATAGGGTGAAACCGATTAAAGCCGATGAAAAGGTGTGTGTCCGATACGCTTGTGCGTCTCCTAAACGGTCGCCTAATCGCCTAATCAATACATATCCTTCTCCTTGAAGACCAATCTCCTAATCCCATGTATGATCGCTAACTCTGGACGCTGCCTAATTCATGCAGGCGTTACCGAAAGCGCAATATTGCTTCGATGCTTGGATACTAGTAACTTGATGATGACAACAGTTCCCTCACAAGTACGTCTGATTTCGTTCATTTTTTTTCCTAGGGGTGAACCAAGTTTTTTGTGCAATTTTCACACAATTCGGCGGTCAAGCAAAACCATTCAGATGCCGTCACCGTCCGGCATATCCGTTTCAGGCTCAGAATTCTGGTAATTCTTGATTTACCGGTGGTTTTTGAACTTCAGACCCCATTAATGGCTTTCTGAAGCCCTAACTCACAAAATGTTCTTAAACTTCTCAGTTGAGGAACTTCTAGCGAATATCTATGCGAAGTGCCCAAGATCTTTGAAAAGGTTCGGTTCGAAAGAGCAGTTGCGGGACTTTCTTGGTGACCTTATCCATGCTTTGCGGTCGCATATTCCATGTGTGGTATGTCGTTTATTTCAAAGTCGTTCTATGTAAAACCTTGACAGTTCGAGGATTTTAGTATCTCAATCGTGACGATCCACTGTGGTGTAGTAAGGTGACGCCATGCTTAAGAACTTCATATCGCTTGTGTCACATGCACGGCTGTCACATTCGAGGAAAATGTGAAGGTTAGTCTTGACGTCTATCAAAGTACTAAACAATAATCTTTACGTCCAGTATTCCCGAATAATCATTTATAATTTTGTAAATATACATTTTAAAACTTGTCTTACCTGACTAATGCTCCAAAAATTGCAGCCACCATCCTTGGCAAGTAAGACGGTGCTAACTTAGCTGGGGGGGGGGGGGGGGGGCGGGGGGGGGGAAGGGAACTCGGCGCGGCGTCGCTCGGCTCTTGCTCGCTCTGGCACTCATCTCGCGAGAATAGTGTGAACTCAACATTCCAGATTTCACGCATGTGATCTGCCTCACGCCCTCCTCCCGCGCCGCCCCCCACCCATCCTATAGACTGCTTACAGTCCCCCTTGCTCACGGATTTTCCGAAGTACGCAGATGCCAGGCGAGCAAAGAGCCGCGCCGCCGTGTGATCCCCCAGCTAAGTTAGTACCAGTAATGCTGAGTGTTGTGTAAGAGATTGTTTGAGACTTTTTTTGGTTGGAAAATAATGGAAGTAGCCCCGATTACATGTACTAATGAGAATTTTGCATGTCGGCAAGACTTGGCCTACTCCTCGAAAATTGTCAGAATGTTTACGTTAGGAACTTAGGAGTGTTAAGATGCAGATGCACTCGTATGCCAAAGCTCACTATTAGATGGTGCTTGCTGAGTTACGATGATCTTTTATTTGTTCCTATCAAATTTCTTTTTACCTATACTATACTTTATCTTCTCACGTGAACTCATTGTCCAGGTTCTCGCTCTTAAACTCACACACTTTTGATTTGTTCTTTATGCAGATAACAAATGCCGGTATGTGTGGAAGCTGATTTCTCACTGGTATAATTGCGAAAACGAACTCTGCTTCGTCTGCAGTCCATGGGTTAAACCGATTGCAGTGTATGGACAATGTAGGTTTTTTTGTTCAATTCTGGAAATTTGCAACTGTTTCGTCTGTTTTCAGCTAAAACGTTTTTGAATGAACTCTTCGGTGAAGAACCGCTTCTCAAAAGCGCTTGCTGAGTTTCTGGCTAAGGAGCATATCTATAGTACAAGTGAACCAGTGATTGAGAATAATGAAGCTGTAAGCGAAGAGGAAAAAGATGATGCCAAAAGTACCGACTTTGAAATAGATATACAATCTTCAAAAACATGTGTCACTCTAGGAGTGCAAGCCAGTTTCGGAGCTCTGGAAATCAGTAAGGTACCAATACAGGTGAGCTCTTTCGCATTATTTGAAGCACATGTTCAAAACATTGGCGACAGCCGGTATTCGTGTATTTCATTAACAGCCGTTGCCCTCAAATAATTAATTATAGATATTGAGTCTATTTTCTGCGTCCGATAGAGTATGAAGAGTTTTGAAACATAACAAATCTAGATAAATAAAGAAAAATGAGTCTCATGTTTGTGAAGGCCAGTCGTTAGAGTGTAAATGGCAGTAACACGGCGTTCTTTCAGCTCACGCAAGTCGTTAACATTCGCACTCCTTTACCAACGAGAACCAGCTATATTATCAAATTTTGTGCAAAACTATGTTTGTTAGAAGTGATGGTATCTTCAACACTGCTCGGCTCGCTTGTTCTGAAGCATATTTCAGAGCATGTGAGATTTCAGTGACCATAGCATATCGTTCCCTCGAAGCAGCGGATTAACTAGAAAATATTCAGCGACAAATGAGCGCTTTCAAACGGTTCGTGCATTGTTATAGGGCAGCAGTGCGTTATGCATGTGATATAGCATACATTATACGAAGTTATACGAATTGCCAGGAAGAGGGCTGAAAATTTTCCTTCAGAAATGAAACGATTTCCATTTTTAATAAATTCTACAGCATTTGTAGAGTTGAATAGTGTTGCATTTTGGAAGCTTTTTGTCTACTGAATGAGTTTAATGCTTAAACAGCTTGAAGATTGAACACGTATTCAATAAAACAAACCTTGGGTCTATTCCAGTTAGGGGGGCATCATGATGCAGTTTCTCGGCGAGCTAATGTAAACTCGAACATTCCAGCTTCTCACGCATGTCAAGTGACTGCCCTCACCCCCACCCCCCTAGGCTGGCTACACTCCCCCTGGCTCAGAGTTACCGTAGCTTTTTGGGAGTCACCGCACCATGATGCCCCCCTAACTGGAATAGACCCCAATTTCTTCAAGTGATCAAATATTTTCAATTTGAAAGACGCCTGGGTGTTCTGTATGGGTCTACCTATAATTCTGAATTTATGGAAATGGGAAAATACGTTTTTGGGTAACTAACGACGAAAATTTTTACTAAGCACGAGTTTCTACATTTTCAAGACAACTTCAACTCTAACTTCTACAAATGCGATAATTTGAAAATTTTAAATGGCATCGTAAAACTAGACGTTGCTCTATCCTACGGTTGAAATGACTTGACTCGTCCACTCTGCCGAAAATGGTTGCTTTTCAGATTTTTGCAAAAATAACGGGGAAATTTTCGAAATGGGCGAGTTTACACTCGCCAAAACCATAAATATGTGTTCACTGCGATAAATCAGAACTTCTTTCAGCCGTCTGTAGTCAGAAAGTGCTTTACTCAACAGTTTACTAAGGAAGCGATCTATCGAGAGCATCGATCGAGCTTCTCAATAGGTGTGACAGGGTCCCCAGTGACCGTGGTAAAATAGGTGAAGATGTGCGCTGAGTCGCTATGTCGAATTGGGAAACCCACTGTGTGTTCTTTGAAGAGGCGGCGTTCAATAAAAATTCATAATTTGTCAAGAAAAGTCCCCATTGGGCAGAAAAAATTGGTTCAGGAAGGCAACATACTACCTGGCATACCTGACATACCTGAACTGGGTGAAGCCCGTCCAGAGTAGTCGGAGCAACCCCAACTTCCGGGAGGATCCCCCAACCTTGGGATCCCTCCTATGACGCAACCGTGCGGACGGTCACTGCCGTCGACCCTCTGCGTCTCTGCAGGCAGGGGATATATCCCCCTAGTCGAGACTAGGGGGATTCGTCCCCTCACTTGGCGACGCTGAGAATTGAAGGCTGTTTCGGGTTTTTTCACCCTTTGTTTCACTTCGTTATTCGCTTTTCTTTTTTCGTCATTACCTTGCCTTTGTTCATTCGCTGTTTTCTGAGCACTGTGCACAGTTTTAAAATCATCGAATATTCAAATTTGCGAAAAGAATCACTCAATCACTCTACTGTATCATAGGGTTCTATTTCGAGATTCTCTTAACA